CACTTTACCTAGTCAGGCATTACTGGAAGCAGCAGGATACCCAAGAACCTCAAGACAGACAGGTCTTATATATAGTCATTGGTTTCTGTGACCTAGCAGCCTAATCAGTACTCTGTGTTCAGCAAATAGTAAGTATCTAGGAGACATAATTAAAGCTTTACTGGTGCATTATGGACGACAAACAACAAAAAAGCTTGCCAAAGCATTTTGGAAAATTTTGTTCCTTCAATTCAAGCAGCAGCACACTTCATGCAAGCTGAGGATGCTCCCAGCTGTTCAGTACTATGACAGTAATTACGTGAGGTGTCAGCAGTGTCCTGGTATAAAATCAAGGCTTGGTCTTAGTTTCCACTTCATGCTGGTAGAACTGTAACACAGCAGTATGGCTTTAATTACTGATTACTCCACTAGGTTTTTATTTATTTTCCTGGTCTTTCAAGTCTCACATCGTGAGATTTCACAAAGCAATACAATCACCATATTTACAGAACTGTATAATGCTAAGACAAAAACCTCAAAGGAAAAAAAAATATGGCACTCTTCAAGGAAAGCAAGAATACATTCCAACCAGACATGATGGAATTACACACTTCTAATATACAGAGTGTGTATTAATCTCTAACAAACTAATAATGAGGAACATTTTCCTGCCCACCCCATCCCCACTCACATTTAGCAAAAGCACGTGGCAATAAACACTCAGACCACACTGTCAGCAAAAGCTAACTGGAAAATGAATTGGGCTGAAAACTGAAAAGTTTTCAGTGCTAAATGCACATCCTCAGCCCTTAAGAGTTCACTGTAGAAAACTCTTCTGTGTTTCTGAGTGGAAAGTAAGTCATCATCCTGTACAAAACCACATTTTTTTAACCTGTAAAGTTTGGTGGCTGGATCTAAAGCATGTGCAGCTTAAAAAAAAAAAAGTAAAAGTTTCATCTGTTTAAGTGAGGTGTGATTGAAAATGATCACTCCCATTTGTCTCAAGAGAATGTGTATTAAATTCTGCCATAGCGCAGTCTGTCTATTAATGACTAAATCCCTTTTTTTAACTTAGAGCATTTGGGGGACTCAGCCCATATACCAACACTAGGAAGGGATAAATCATCTTTGTAGAACTGTAAGAGACACTGTAAGATAGGGATTTGCCCTAAAGGAGAAGACTGATTTGATAGTAGGAGTCCTTCATTGTATTAGTGCAATATTTGTAAACTAAACCTTAGAGGTTATCACTATTAAAGTGCTAGCTGACCGTCAGCTGGCCTAGCAGGGAAGCTTTATATACACTTGTGGCTAAAACTTCTATTGTTCTTGGTCATGACAAAAACATTTTGCTTCACCTCACAATGATTGTTCTAGAGGTACCACACTGTATAAAAGAACAGCATTATTGTTTCATTCATGATCTGAATGCCCTGGGACTGATGGATACTGAGAAGTTCTTATAAGCCCCAGAGCAAATTTCCCTACTGCAAAGCTGTCCATTGTTCACATCATGGTCAAATGTAACCAGAAATAAGAAACATTAGAAGACTTTCTGAAATGTAATTATATGTCTTTCAAGTAAATTTCAAGTAGCAGGTTTTCATCTGTCTCCCCCAGCCTTTCCTACTGAGTCAATGAAAGAGCAAAATCAATCCACTTTAAACGCAAATGTAAAAATACCCCTGAAATGTAGCAAACGTGGTGTTGATGTTTTGCCAGTTACCATTAAGTATATATAATATCATTCTGTGAAAACAGGTGATTTTAGAAGAACACCTAACTGGAAGGGACCCTCCTGGGTCGGTTAAGTCCAGTCTCTTCTGTTTAAAACATAACCCCCAGAAAAGCTATTTAAAACATAAGGATTGTGACAGATGTGCAAAAGAAGTGTTTCTGATTTGTTCTGACAGAGCTGAATACCTGAGGGGGAGTTTGTGTTGGTTAAACATCACCACTACTGGTCTGCTGAAGTTGTGCTAAATCAAGCTTCCATTTTCTCTCCTTCAGAAAGTTTAAAATAAAACATTAACATTCTTGAAGTAAGAAGTTGCACTGTTCAGTATCCTGGTGAGAAAGAGTGGGTGATGTCCTGGAGTCCAATCTTCCATGCTATATTTCCAGTTATACAAGTGGTAGTCATGAAATAGAACTACTTCAACATAGTACACCATTTTTTCTCCCCATTGTAATGATAATTTATCAGTGCTTCCAAGTTTAAAAGAGCTATATTTCTGTATTCTAGCAAAAACAGAGCTGCCAGAATTCAACAGCAGTTTTCACAGAGAAGTGTCAAATCTATAAATTGCTCTTGGAATTCCAAAACTCTCACATGTATCTTTACATGCTTCATAACCCAGTTGCTAACTGTGCAAATACTGCAGTCTGAATTAAAATTGATCTGCACTGGAATCAAGAGTTACAGGTTTGGGGGTTTTACATGGAACAGAGATCTATACAGAGATCTGGCAACAATTTTAAGTGCTGCTATTCTTATTGGAAGCAATTAATTTAGTAAATTTACTAAATTTTCAGTTCTAAATAAGTTTCCAGGCAACATACCCTTTCATCCATTCTTCCTCAGATTCTGTGGGATAACTGTTTAAAAAAGTGGGAATTCCCTACATAAACTTATTTTGTATGGCACTTGTACTGCTTACAGGTGCCTGCAAGCAAAGAATTTTTCAAGACACAGAACCACTTGCTTTTTGATAGGATCCATTTCTCCACTCTTACATTAAGCCCCTTGTAATATTGCTTTTAGACTGTTCAGCTTTTACTAGTGGCATCTTTATTGTGTGATTGCCAAATAAGCAAAGAAATAGGGAGACTGATCGTCTATATTTCAATTATTACCTTTTTCAGACAGCCTTTAGATCAGTTGGTAAATACTGTATTTGTTTTATTGTAAACCCCTATGAAGCATTCCTGTGCAAATAGCATTTCATAAATTTATAATGTGGCACTACTCCTACTATATGTGCTGAAACTAAGAAATAAGAATGAAGTAGGGTTTTTTTTACCCCCCAGGTCTGTAATCCTGAATGCATGTAAATTCTGAAGAAATACTTACTTCAGTAGGATATTTTATTAATCTCTGGGAATGGTAGGTAGAGAGGAACAGTATATACATGCTGTCTTCAGCATCATTTGAATAACACTGCATCATTTACTGGATTCCACCACAACCGGGAATCCGGGAAGAAGACAGTAAAAGAACTTAAAAAAAAGCCCTGCTGAAAATAAACTCTTTTGTGGTTAAAAACCAGCCAGTTGGAACTGAAGCAGTGTTTTCTTAGAGTGGCAGAACAGTCGGAAAAGTTGTTGGATTATTTTTGGCAGTGGCCAGCATATTATAGCTCTACCATTACTGTTACTAAACTGTCAAGAGTCCACTGAAAGGGTTATTACTTTACTAGTACATTCTTGGAAAAATATAGCATACTCAGTCTGGTACCATGAAGCTTTGGATTTTAGAACTTTGACCTTTCTGACACATTCATATCACCGTAACTAGCTTAACTCCTGAATACTTCAACCACACAGGTATAGTAGAACATGAGCCATGACCTACGGACAGCAGTAAATCCAAGGAGTGGCCAAATCATTGCCGAAGTGTTGCACAACGCGATGCAATGAGCACGTAACTGATTGACTCCTTTGCCCTGCACTGCTTGAAAACAGGCTTGGAAGATTTCAGTTAGATTTTTAAAAATTATATAGCTTGTATTTGGATGTTGTAAGAGCAAAACCCAGTGGCTACAGTTACTGGCAGCCAGCTCTCCTGTGTAGGTGCAGGTGTAAAATGTGCAGGTGTAAAATGAAGTTGTGCAGGTGTAAAATTAATCTAGTTCATGCTTTGGCCTTAGCAGCACGTTCTCCTTAGCAAATGCACTTCAATCTCCACACTGAATCCAGCAGGATCTTTTGCATTACAGGAGTAGCTTATACAACCCTTATTTACCTTATTAAATGGGACAGATAAGCTATCTAAATATTTGACTAATAAAATACTATTTCTATCACTTTCTATGACACTTATGAATTTACAATTGGAAATGTACTCTGCTGAGAAGGTGTCAGCATGCTGGATTTAGCTGGTGAAGAAAATAATTGTTTTCCTTTGATTTGGGATCTATATGACCATTCACAGCGTAGTAATTAAGACTGGAGTTATTTCTGCCTTTACAGTAGCCAGAGGACAAGCATTTAAGTATGTGCCTTCATGTGTCTGCAAGTTTTGTATCTTCAGTTCTTCTCAAATATCAGCCACGATCAGATAATTCTCTGCCAACAAATGGCAATCTGTGATTCTCCTTCTGATTATCTACTGAATTGATCAAGAGATTTCCCTGCTGTTGTAGCTGTTGCTTTCAGCCCACTGCTTTCCTCTTCTTCACTAGGCTTCAGCAGCTACCCTTGTCTTCTGGCCAATTTCTCCTAAATCTGGGAGCAGGTCTATAGTTTATGTTGCCTCAAAAGCTCATTTGGACCCACTTTGAATCACATACCAAAAAAACCCCCAAAGTTTAAGGCCTTTGTCCTGTGAATCTTCAGATTCTCTCCTAAGCCAGAAAGACTCAAGTATGTCTCTGGCCCTCACCTGATTCCTGCCTGAATACTAGTGAAAAAAGGAAGCCTACCTAGAACAGAAAGAGGGTAACTCATTGCCTTTTCACCTCACCAGTGCTAGTTTACCAAAGGTCTTGATTAAGAGATTCCATCAGGTAAGGACACACTTGGTTCACCCCCTAAAATGTCATCCCAAGCTTGTCTCCGAGTTTCATTTCATACAGCATACTGATTTTCTGGATTTTTTTCCTAAAATTGCAGACATCCGGCACTGAGGCTGTCCAATTTGCTAGCTTTTAGCACATAGTGTCTTTTTGCTCTGGCAGTATAAGAGCCTTAGAATTTATTTTTTTCTTTTTCCATGTGTGAATGAAAGATCTCAGGCATCATCTCTTCACTGAAACAGACCCTCAGCAGTCTCTTATGAAATTGCTCAAGTGGAACTCATGTTTCAAACAATCAGCAAAGTTCAGTCAATATCGCTGGACAACCTGTGAGATGTTTCATCACTCCACTCTGCTGAGCTGCACACTTTTTTTTTTCTCCACTCACTTTCACTAAATGTGATGCTACTACAAAACAGCCCAGCCAACTTTGCAACTGCATTTCTTCACACTTAGTTCAAACATTAACGGGGGCATGGGGAAGGCTAGAACTATCCTGTAGTAGCTGGTATTTCATGTGGAATATTAAAATCACTGACAATGTTCCCGTATGTGTTGACAAAAACTCAAAGGAGAACCAAAAGTTACTTTCCACTGGCTGTTCAGAATGTACGGTAGTATGCATGTTGGCAACCCTCCTTCAGGGCCTCTGAAGGACTTCCAGTGTTTGGGGCATCATAAGAGAAAGCATGGGGCACAAACTGCGTAACTTAAGATGCGTGCATAGCAGATCTGTGGATAGGGTATAGGTAGGTTCATGTCCTGCAGGTACTACAAATGTCTCTAGTTTTGAGTGTTTGAGTATTGATAATAGGAGTGCACCATTTTGAAGTACTGTGACAGAAAAAGGACACGGCACTGGTGATAGCGCTGTTTAGACCAATCTGGGCAACTAAGCAGAGCAGCCACTGAGTTTTACATCGGCTGCATTTGCTGGCACACAATTTGCAGTGTCTTTGCTTGTAACCAGACTTGCTTCCCAAAGATGATGGGGGGTCTGAGCCCTCATTTGTCTATTGCTACTGTGCAAACTGAGCTCAGACAGTGACATCAGCAGGTATTGCTTCACTATGCTGTATCACTCCTGTTTTTGGTGAGCCTGGAAGATGCCCGAGAAGGATCAGGAGCAGTGGATCGTTAGCCACGGTCTGGTAAAGGTGCTGAATAAGGGTAGCTTTGTCTTACAAATGTGCTGCTCTTTAAAGTTGAAAACTGCACTTTAGACAACCTCTACACTGTAACAGTGAAAAAGGCACAGTTCAGAGAGCCAAACAAGTGGATTTGTCCCTATGCTCCTGCTATCAAGTGGGGAATGGTACCGAAAACACTTATTTGCTGGCTAATTATTGAAACAAATACTTCTACTTCTAGCGGAACGCAGAATAAGCAACTCCCAGACTCAGCTACGCAGTCAAACTGGCCCGATGGCATGCTGCAGCCAATCCCAGCTCAGCGTCTGGATGAAATAAAGACCTTGCTGGGGGAGCAGTTTTTTTGTGCAGTATACTCAGAGGTAAGCACAACACACACACTCTTCTCAGAGCAGACTGAAATCGTCTATTACCAGTATCACACAGTAGCCTGAACAGCTATACCAGAAGAAGAGTTTAACTGACACTTGACCAACATACAAGTGGGGAAGAGAGTTGTCATCTTGAACTTAAAAAAAATCATTGCTTTGTCTTCTAAAGAATGAAGACAAGGGCAGTTTGCATTTAATATTCTTATTTTTTGAAAAGCTTAGTTCTTTGACCTATTAAACAAGGTGCTTCACTGATACTTGCTAGGTAGCTACTGTCTGGCTAAAATGGGAGTTTCCACTTATTCTGTCTTCTTTTATTTTGGCTCCAGAAATCTTATCTTTTGCAGGGAATGTTTTCTTATAATGAGAGATGGTCCACTTGGAAGTCACAGTTCTCATTAAACATTATCTGTTTTAGTACAGTTTTTGTATTTTTGGCATTGAAATGCTTGTGATAACCTTTGTGGCCATGTTACAAACAGATACCCATGTACTACCAGCACTAGAATTGGCAGCTGTGCATCTCCTTGGAAGTTCAGGTGGCTGCGCTTGGCATGCACTGTGCACACTTCTAGAAAGCACCATGAAAGGGTCTAGTAACTAAGTATGCGACAAAGTTTAGAAATAACCCCCAAAATAGCTTGTAAAATATCTGTACACGTCAGCAAAAAAGCCCACAATCCTAACAGCCTAAGGCATACCTATATTCTTTAAATGTTAACTTTTTTTGCTTGTGTTGTCATTGTCTAGTCCACTTCTTTAATCTGTCAGTTTCTATTCTCCACTAATTTAATAATTGATTAAAAGATTCAATTTTGAATCTTCAGGAAAACTACCAGGTATCCCAAATACATTTTGTCTGCGTTTGGGCCACACTCCCCACAGAATGCTTTACCACAAGGAGAGGAAATACAAGGCAAGTTTAAAAAAAAAAAAAAAAGGCAAGCAGGTGAGATCTTTCTGATTTTGTGTTAATGGCCTTAAAGCAATAATCTTAGTATACGCAACACAAGAAACTCAGAGAAGGGAGATAAATGTAGCTGCATTTTAGAGCAGTGAATCTTGTATAGCACAAAACCAGAAACAGCTCTTTGCTGACATTGCAATGTCTCTTTCCTATAGAAGGAAATAATAAAAAAAGGGTTTATGTATAAACACAATAGGTTGAGGCTGTTATTGGCATGTCTAAATTGTGCCTGGATTTTGTTCTGCAAACCTTTTCCATTAACATTTCTGTCGGGAAAGCTAACTCTTTAGAGATGTAATGAACCATCTGATTTTAATTTGGTTGTAGAACAAGGGGTTACTCTCTGAATCGTGCATAGCCAAGCTATTGAGCTACACCCAGATCTATTTCCTTATACAGACGATGCTGACTGCTCAAGCACGAGCAGCATGTGGGAAAGCAGCAACCCTCAGCCTTGTTTTAAGCAAATTAAAGTAGCTTGGGAACAGTAACGATTTTCTCCGTGAGAGAGATTTGACTCTCCTCATCATCATTTTGTCCCCAATTCTTCCAGCCCAACTGCTGCAGACACAACTGTTAATGTGGCTTTTGGCCTTTCTCTTCTTTTCTCCCCTTGATGCAGGGACTGTAGCATCTTCACCCTCTTCAGTCACTACCTTCACTTGGCATCTCCTGCTGATTTCTTAAATGCTTACCCAGACCTGCACAGACACTGCTGTTTATTTCATTTCAGCTCTTGTCCGAGATAAGACTATCCACACAAGATCCTATGGGGCATCTTAGGGTTCCGCACTTTCTACAAGACTGTGCTCTAGCAAAGCTAAAGCCCTGGTTGAGTGCTTTAGTGCTGCTTGGGATTCTAGTCTGAAAAAGCTGAACAGAAACAGAGAGGGGGAACTTCAACAGTAATTGACCCACACCCAGAAAAAACATTCAAGACATGCTGGGAAATCACAGTGGAACTGCAGAGCCTGATTCCTTTTACAAAACCCTGTTTGTCCAGTCTATGCGCGGCTGCCTGCCTGCTGGCCGGACAGAGTGTAATTCAGGGCCAGCTGAGACATGTCAGGCAAAACAAGGCAAAGAGACAGGGGAGGAGCCTCGCTTGATAGGTTTTTTTCTGTTTATACCCTGTCTCTGCTTATTAAGTCTTCACAAAGGAAATACAATGTCTGCCCTTAACTGCAATTTCAGATCATTTTTGAATGTCTCTCATTCCCAGGATGCCCGCTACTGATTTGTTAACCCAAGATGTGGCTGAATTAGTCAACACATGGTAGTTACCTAACAAGGTATTACTGCTGCTAGTCTTCTAGCATAAAATTGTTCTTAGCGAAGTTTTAGAGATTTGTCTTACGCTTTTTCACAGCCAAACAGATGCGCATATTCTCCAGAGCGAAGGAAGACTAGCACTGGCACTGGATCTGCTATGCAGTGACATTTGTGGAGTTTCTTGCTCATGGCACTTTGAAAAAAGGAAGGTGTTTCCCTGTACATAATTCCCAGTACTATGGCCACAATGGTTTTAGCTATGCTATACCCAATATGCCAACCCAGAAGTAGCCTGTCAACCATGGTGCTCCTATGTAATACCCATATTTATCCTAATACGCAGCTTGAACATGGAAAAAAATCCCATCTGTCCTTGTGACATGTGATGTCTGAGCTCTTCTGGGAAGGAGCCTGGGCTTTATCTGCCTAAAATCAGCAATGTGGTGCATCCTGAAAGGGCAGATGGGATAGATGGAGGCTGCTGGAGGCTGCTGAGCCAGCCAGAGTGGTGGGGCCTGTCCACATGGCAGGTAAGCGTGGCTGTTGAGTGTGTGATAATGGCACGATTCACTGGGGCTCCCCCCCCCTTCCATAAGTACCAGCTTGGTGATCCCCACCCTAGCCCCAAGGACACCTATGCAGACAAATTAACTGAATGGACAGCTATTTCAGCCCAGGGGCTGCTTCTACTCTCACTACTCTGCAGGGTATTTGCAGCCAAGAGACCAGCCCTGGCCAAAAAGGTTGCTGCAAAAATCACTAGAGATTTTACTCCTGGGAACATGCTGTCGCCATATGGTCTCCACATTAATAACACCAAACAAGTGCTTCATAAACAGTGTTTTAATAACAAATACCAGAGGAATTAATAATAATCTAGCTATTATTTTCTAATGTTCTCGCTTTATTAAGAACATTTATGCTGTCTGAATGAGCTCTTCGGAAGAACAACATCTGGCACCCACATGAATACCTGATGAAATCTGTATGATCCTGGGTATCTTATAAATTTATTGTCAGCAACGGCATCTGTTTGTGCCAGCATGGCTTACAGTAACATTACATTTTTCTTTTGTTCTAGGTGCATAGCGTAATGTCCATGCTGTACTACACTCTGATTATAGCTTTTTTGATCGGCACACAGGCAGCTCCAAAGTCAGAGGACAATGCTCCACTGGAGTATCCTGCAGAACAGTCCCTGCTCAATACCCACCGGAGTAACAGACACCACATTCCCAAGGCAGCTCCACAGACATCCCACGGCCACTCTACTTGGACGATAGGTAGAAGAGAAGCTATAAATATCACCGTGGACCCCAAATTCTTTAAGAAGAGACATTTCCGGTCTCCCCGGGTGCTGTTCAGCACACAGCCCCCCCCAGTGTCAGGGCAAGGACAGAATACGGGATTTCTCAGCAGTGCAGGTTCTCTCAACAGGACTGCCAGGACCAAGAGGACCGCGCATCCCGTATTACACCGGGGAGAGTTCTCAGTGTGTGACAGCGTCAGCATGTGGGTTGGGGCCAAAACCACAGCCACTGACATTAAAGGAAAAGAGGTGACAGTATTGGGAGAGGTCAACATTAACAACAACATTTTTAAGCAGTACTTTTTTGAGACCAAGTGCAGGGACCCTAAGCCAGTCTCCAGTGGGTGCCGAGGGATCGATGCAAAGCACTGGAACTCTTACTGCACCACAACACACACCTTTGTCAAAGCGCTGACAATGGAGGGCAAGCAAGCAGCCTGGCGATTTATTCGAATTGACACAGCCTGTGTGTGTGTGAAAAAAAAGATGGATCTAAACCCCGTGACAACACCCTCCTACCCCCCTACCTCAGTCTGTAAATTATTTTAAGTTATAAAGGACTGCATGGTATATTTATAGTTTATACAGTACAGAAAGGACCTCATTATTTATTAAACTCTTTTGGAAACCTTTTGTGTTTTGCAATTTATTTACTGGCAGAACCCTTCAAAAGATGTTCACCTTAGTCTCATTCAGCCCTACAACTCTGTAATGTTCACAGGGCCATTGAACAATCTTTGCTCGCCATTCTACAAAAAGAAAATGTTCTTCACACAGTTTTCACACATATTCCTCCCTTCCACAATAAAAGAATTTTCCTCACAAAACTTGCCAGTTTACTGTGAAAATCTTGTAGGTTTATTTTAAATTGAAGTGTTTTGTCCAACTACCAAGAGACTGAAAAAGACCTTTCAAAACTTGCTTCCAGTTTTACTAATTATCCATAAAGATATTAATCTTATATAATTAATCATCTTAGTGAACTCCTGGTAGAAATACTAGTTCTTCATGTTGCATAAATTTCTAAGTAAGACCTTTAGTGCCTTTTTTTTAAATTGCTAAATTATTTTCACTGCAAAAATAACCCGTTCTGAATTATTTTGGAACATTTGTCTGCACAAGAGTAGAATCTAGATGTATGTATTTTTGCATTAAAATGGTATTTTACAGCTCATTACTTACGAGCTGTATTAGAGCGATGGGGTTGCAAATGTCAATATACATATATAAATAAAAAAGTTCATGTAGCTTATAATTAAAATTTGAAAATTCTCTCAAGCTAGTATTTTGGCAATGGGGACTTGACATAGGAGCAAGCCTTTCCAAGCGTGACAGAAGAAAATTTTTTAAAAATTTAAAAAAAATCACTGAGGCTGTGTTTTAGCAAGGAGCCCCAAAATAACCCTATGCTCATAATTTCTGTGCTTTGGGGAACATTGGTCTCTAGAAGTACACAACGGAGCCTGAGGCCTGTGATGGGTGTTTCAGTCATTGCACAGCAAATAAAGCTGCAGTTTCTCTCATTGTTTCCTTTGGAAGAACAGCTGTTACCCATTGCAGAAACTGTTTCAAAACAAACACCATTACGGTTTTTCAGCTTGGTTTCTTCCAAATCCTAGAGGGCACACTTTCACCCTTGCCTTCCCTCATGCAGAGTTATTTCTTTAATGAAAAAAGCAGACCTGACATTTGCTTCCTCCATGTAAACAGCAAAGAAGGGCAGCAGATCTCTAGAGAAAATGCGTTGTGGTAAAATAGTGCCAGTGGAAATAACCAAACCTAGGCAATATATGCTTTCTGGTATGATAGTGCCAGTCTCTGTGAAGTGGAAGGCACCGAGACAGAGACCATTCCTGATAATTACTGGTATGCCACTTTTCAGCCCCCTCTAGTAGGTGGTTATGGCGTGGGACAGCAATATTCCAGTGAGAATGTTTTGCTCTCTCCAGAACAACATATTTGCAATATTTGCATGAATAGTCAGTTATCTGAAAGGTCAAGGAGAAGGCAGGCTCCTGACTGTCCTGTGTCCTCCAAATAATGACGACTTGTTCTGGAGCAGGGGGAGGCAATGAAGACTAAGGAATACTTATAGCACAATCATGTTGGCATCAGATGCTCTGATGCAGTAGCAGAACGCAACAGCAGCGGCAGCCACCTGTCAGTCATTACAGGAGAGATGGAGGGAGATCAGTGAAACACAATATTCTGAAGCAAAGAAAAACACGGAATTGAAGCAGAATCCTGCCTGTGCTCTTTGGTGGCCTTAAAGCAATGGACAAAAGTAACAAATCTGTTTTAGAAGTGCTCTTTACCATACATGACACAATGCAACTAGGGAAAAATGAAGCTGCTACTCATCCAGGACTTCCAGGTTTATGGACACTGCCATTATTTTACCACTGACATAACAAAACTGCAATTGGAAGCGTCTCCTGAATGCATTTGGTAATTCCACACATGTGTAAGACTTGGCATTTCTTCAAAGAGCCCTGAAACTGACAACTTTCTTCTTAAAGCAATCTTGGGAGTCGACTTTCCTTCCACATCCAGCCCACTTAGGAGTTCCTCTGACTACACCTTAAAGCACATTCTTGCCAAGAACAAGGTACTACTACCTATAACACCCAATCTGAGGGACAAAGAGCTGTCATTAAAAGCTCTATGAACTACTGCTATAAATCTGGACCGTGATTAAAATTTCTGTTAATAAACGTTTAGCTATTTGTTATGGGGGGAGGGTTTATTTAGTCTTGCAGATATTTATGCAATCTATTCCACATTCTTCCCTTCAGCTGATTTTTGTTTTGTGCTCCCAAGACTGAAACTAGACTACTGGTTCATCCTTCATGACAGTGATCTATTGTACTACTGACGTTTCTTGCCTGTTCATAAAAAAGGTCTCAAAAGGGAGGGTGGAAGAGTGAAAAGGACAGTTTGATGCATTCACACTTGATCTTGATCCCACTGTTAATTGCAGAATCTGGAATTCCAGACTTAGAGCTACAAACCCAAGCCCGTAACTTAAATTTTAAGGGTGTACATAATTTCTCTCCCTGCACCTATATTATTGTTATGCCTGTGTGAAATGTTGATGTGACCAATGATCTACTGAGAAGTGGTGATGTATTTCAAGAAATTAATCTAATGAGAATGTGGGGTTTTATGATTATAAAATAAGAAAAACCTGGAAAATTGCATTCTTAGAAAGAGAATTATTGCCATATTTCAATTTTTGTATTAACTGTGCACTTAGATGGCAAGATAAGGCTCCATCTCTGACCATAGCTACACAAACCCAATCTGTGAGATTCCCACTGCAGTACTCAAACTTCATTCCACTTACAGATGTTTGTGCCACATTTAAAGACTAGGATTTAAAACAACCGTAGTCCTATCCATTCTTGCAGTAACTGGCATCATGCTTCCCTGTTATCTCCAGCAACAGAAAAATATTCTTGATAAAGCCCAAGCACAGAGTTTCATGCAATCTAAAGAGGTTAGTATCATACAATAAAGATACCCTGAACAGCCAGAAATGAAGTACAGGACTGACTGCCTGGAGGTATAAGGAATTGTGATCTCTGGACATGCCAGAGAACAGATGAGACAATTATCTGCCAGAAATGCTTCTGCCTTGAGTGAGATGCAAGGACTACACAACTTTCAGTGACATTTGCCACAATTTGTGTGCTTCCAGACAAGAGTTAAATTGTGACTCTTTGTTGAAGTCATGCTCACAGTTGTCACCCATCTACAGAAAGGCTGAGGAAGAACTTTTGAACATTTTCAGTTATGTATATGGTCCCTGTTAAACACAGTCCCATACTTTTGGAATTTCAATACATGGATGAAAGAGTACAAAATTCATGCAATAATTGCTGTTTAGAAACTGACAAATGCTACTGGTCTACAGCACAGCAGACTGGGTTAATAAAATCAGAAACAGAACAAAACCTGGGAGAGCATTTTTGATAACATTGCTGATCCTCTGGAGGCTTAGCCTTCCAAACCATAGCGAAGCCAATGACAGAAGGTCATTGTAAAGACCTTCTGATTATCTCAATAAAAAGTATCTCTTAGCATTCTACATCAGAAACAGGTGAACTGTCATGGAAAATTCCTCTACACAAATACATTGCAAGGCTATCTTAAAAGCCAACGTTTCCCACATCATAACTAGCAACTCAGCCTCAGAACACGATGCCTCCAGGAGGTAAATCAGTGTGTGCATTTGTCACTGATTATCCTGACTGCTCTCTGCTTCCTTGGGCAACAACTGGTATCTTAAAAGCAAAGAGCTACATCAAGATTTAATTAGAAAACTAACTCAGTGTCAAGCTGTTGTTAATTTTTGTTTTTTCCCCAGAGATAAAATCCAGCTGGAGATGCCTGAGATATCATCTCAGTTGCAGTGACTTCATCTTTTACATCATTAGGTTACAGTAAATTGTTGTACACGATGCTTTCTGGCCAGAGTACAGAAAAGGGAACAAAACCACCTGTCTTCAGTTTGCTCTTCTGGAAAGTACACCCATGAAGAATATCAGACCAACATATAGGAGTGATAGAACTTTTAGAGATAGATTATGCAGATTAAATACAAACAGCGATGCAAATTTATGTATTCTAATTTGAAATATCTATTTTCAGTGTTGAAGTAAGAAATTTCCCAAATACTTAATGTGAATTGATTCAGTGCTGCTGTTTGGGAAGCTCTGACAGCCATTATCAACTGTCAGCACAGTTGTTGTGTTAAGTCTGCAGCTTGTAAATATTTTCAGGAACTGTCCTTTATCATGGTTAGCTTTTATCTTTCTTTTTTTTTCTCTCTCCAATCAAGCATGTGGCAGTCTGCCATTTTGTTGTCTGCAACTCACATTATGATCAATGTACAGAATCCCATACTGCTAAAAGTCAGGTACAAAGAGGCTTGAGTACCTTGCTTAAATGCCTTTCTCTTTTTTTTTTTTTCTTTTTGATACACATTCCTGTGTAATGTCAGCATTATGTTTACTGATTGAGAAACTGTGCTTTCCACAGTGCCCTCTCTCAGTGGCTTAGAGTTACTGATGAGATGGCAGTATGTTACAAACTCATTTGCTGGAGAAATCAGGCTGATGGCAATTACAGCAAATCATACTAAGAGGTTATACAGTAGAGCAAAGGTGGAAATTTGTTTTCTTACGTGATTTTAAGGAAAGAGGGAAACAATTACAGGATTACTGCTCAGCAGGATCTTCCTGGATTCTGAATGAGAGCTCATGTGATCAAACCTATACCACAACTGCAAGAGAATGGATGAGGGACTGAAAAGCCAGATGACATCATAGCACAACTTACACTGCTGAAACGCTGTTAAAGGCACCCCAAATGGCTTATTTTGCTGTTGTTTCCACTGTATCCAAGGAATGACAAGAGCACCCGTATTTGGATAAGTTGCTTTCACTTGTAATAGCTGCAGTTTGAACATATGATTCAAGACTGCAGTTCAGCATGGAGAGTTCTGCAATGGAATGGACTTAGCTCCGCTCACTTATTTGTATAAAGTGACAATAACTGAAAAACCTGTGAGGAAGGATCTCTACAAATCAACTTTGTTCAACATAACTGCTAGTTTGCAGCACACTTCATTTCTCAAGAGCGCCTCTGCTACCCACAGCTTCTCCACTACTTTTGAAACAAGTGCTACACACTGCTGGATTCTCTTCTGACTGTTTAAGAAGTCTACCAAGTTTTAATTATTTATATGAGCTTGACAACCAACTGCTTCCCTAAAGATGAAGTGCCTTCATTTCTTCTTAAAGCCCTACTTTTATGAATATAAGGATTGAAAACAATTATGGCTCAGAAAAAGGAAAGCTACTTCATATCAAGTGAGATCAACTAGAGGGACTGCTATGAAACAGATTTATTGGAAGAATTGCATAGTCACTATTACAAGAATCTGAAACTCATCTCTTTAGATTCTGAGGGAAGAAAAACAAGATCCTTATATTTAAAAAGCAAATCAGATGAGAATTGGTTTCACCTTTAGCCAAATGCCACATGCATGACACCAACGATTTCACTACTGCTCATTTGGTCTGACTAAGGAGTGAAGATTAAATTTTGCCTGGAGGAAAACAGATCGTTCTCTAGAAAGATGAAGAAGATATGGACCATAATCAGTTTCCATCACCTAACATGGGACTCATCCTCTCGTCACTGCTGTTATTACAGTTTTGGTTTGGTGGAGGTTTTTGTTGGGGGGGATGCAGCCCAGGGGACCACGACACATGTCTGAAATCCTACTGGTTACACAATCATTCCTACTGCTGAGTTGATGCCAAAAGCCTGAAATGCCAGAAAGTCCATTCTAATGCCTAGACCTGCAATCAGGTTATACTTCATTGGGCTTGCCTCGATTATTTTCACCTCAGCTGCAATACAGACAGGAAATTTTGACATTGACAGAGAAAGAGACAGGTTACATAACAGTCATGCTTTCTCTATATGCTTCCTTTCATCCCTTACATGACACTGCTGCTTCATTATCTAATCCCTTATTTAAACATGTGATTAAAGAGAAACACCATAGAAGCCACACCCTTGCCACCTTTTCTTTAGTAAGCAACATCTTTCATTAGAGCAATTACAACCACTGTCAGAGAACTTACTTGTAGGGCTTGGAATCACTGTGAATTGTATTTTCACTTTTCTCTGGGTATCTTCTAGAGGAATTCTTTGCTCTAGAAAAGTCCGCTTCTGTATGCCTACAAATAAGCTATTCTGATACGGTATCTCTAGCATTGTATAACAGTCATTGGACCTGATATGCAATCTTGAATTCCAGCACTTGGTGTGTATAACCACTGAAGATTGTACATTGACACTTCAGCAGCACCCTTCAACCAAGCTGCTTTATGAAGTGAAAAGAAACTAG